TATGAAGCCACTTTAGTCTTTATATAAATATATATAACTTATGCAAATAGAGCAGTCAAAAACAGGAGGAGTACAACAGAGGGTTTATGGTGATATTCACAGTTATTGCAGATGAAACGACCACTTGTGTTTGGCAGGAAAGCACATTACAGAGGACACGTGCTATTATTGGAAGCAGATTCATTTAAAACCTCTTCCTGTTGCTGATGCAGTGGTCCTGTATGCCGAGGTTTTGTATCTGTATCAGAATCAAATGGGAAAAACCACAAACCATAGGCTGAACACAATGCATGGGACACCAAATACATGACATTGTAACTGTAACTCTTAAATACCCGTTGTGCTTCAGTGAGACATCACTCAAGTGATCATATTAATATTCATATCATTATTATTGCAGCTGTCATTGGATTTATGAAATAAGCATGCTAAAATATTCATTCTCAGTATCTCACAGAAATAGAAAAAATAATGTGATAATTTATCTTTCAACAGTTTTTACATGAAATAGTTTATAAATGGTATTAAAAGGTGATAATCACCTGCATTCACTTAACACTGAGGTTACTGCATTTGGGAGAGGCAATTTAAAAAAAAACTAACAAAAAACCTTTATAACAAAGAAAAAACAAGTGACGCTACAGCCACAAGATTCTGTGTGCTGCAAAATAAGCATGTGATGGAGGCCAACAGGCCCCAGTCAGTGATGTCAACTCAGAGTCACCATTCACCAAGTTTCCGAGAATACAGCTGACTCACTGGTCAGATGATAGAACATGTACGAGTCACACCAGGCCACTGTTCACTTTGCAATATTTTTAATGTGCAAACACTTATTTTTGTCCTTTGGGAAAGTGGGATTCTGAGGTTCCACAGTGTGTGACAGAATGATGTCCGTCCCCGTTTTTCCCCCACCGGAGTTCAACATTCAAGCTCGTCTCTGCCTTCATTCCAGTTTGTTACATGCTTCCAAGACCTTGTAGTTAAAGTCCTCAGGCTGGTCGGCATACACATAGTGACCGGCTCCACGGATTGTCTGCAGGAAGGGAAGAGAATCAGAAGGGAAGCAGCCAATTAAAAATTATGGAAACTATATAAAGGCATGTCATAAAGGGAGGTCATGATTTTAACGAGGAGGGCTGTGTCTCCGGTTTATAGTTTTCATAAAACAAAGATGGAAAGTAACATTCAAATTTACAGCATGCATCAGTTTTATTTCAAGCCTCCATACAGTCAGTTCCACGGTTCTTCATGGCAGAAAAATTTACCTTTGATGTGTCAATATACACATAATTGCATGTGGAGCAATCATGCTTAAGGCACTGAATCTGTGGAAGTCTGCTAAACAGAGGTTTTTTATATAATTCATTAAACAAATGTATTTTAAGCTTAAGTAAACTAAACCCCATGTACAAAAGCAACAAATCAGTCTTTTGTCCAGCGATTTTTATTTGATGAAGCCTCAAAATGTTTTTCTTTTGGTTTAGTCAAAACCTCCAACTTTTACAGAGTAGTATTTTTTTATTTATTTTTTGAAATAAACTAAAATTATATAGTGAAACAAATTGATCAGCCCTCTTGTGATACAACATACATCCTCTGTATTGCACGAGGCTGTAACCATAGCCAGCCAGTTCATTTTGTGCAAATCCACTCTTTTCAACATCCATGTACTGATCACCGCACTGTTTCTGTGCTAAAAGAGGCATCATTTCTTTCCTCATTACTAAAACTGATTCTGAAGGAACATTCCACTAACTCAGAGGGTCTAGCAACCCTCTGAGTTAGTGGCAGTCTGTGTTGAAACAACAGCTGTAATTCTCCACATTTCAACTTTTTTCTCCAAAAAAAAAAACACAAAACCGCTTGTAGGCTTTAATCTTGAAGTTTCAACTTTATTTTCAATCAATAATAATATATTATCAATATTTTTTTTCCATTTGATGGCACCCTAATACACTGTTGTAGAGGTCAGATAATGACTGTTTGTTTGCAGCAGCCTGTAGTTTTGTTTTTCTTTTGTTTTTTTTAAATGGACATTTTCCCCCCATATATCTGTACTCATTAACACAGAGTTAGGAAATTAAAATGTCTCGAGTCCGTGGTAATGAGAATGTCTTTGCATATCATAATGTTTCAGTGTCTGTTTTGCACCTGTCTAGGCAGCTGCTCATCCAGTCTTCCTCAGCCTTGACAGGTGTATGAAAGCAACTGCCCATTTTTTCCCCTAAGTGCTAAACCCTTACCCCAACTCTCACCCAGTCCTAAAGGCCATTACACAGAACGTGCTGCAAAACAATGACCCAAAATTCCAAATTGCCATGTAACATATACATCGGTGTGAAAAAAAGTGTTTGCCATGTTTTTGTATGTTTGTCACACTTAAATGTTTCAGATCTAACAAATTTAAAAATGAGACAAAGATGACAAGTAAACACAAAATGCAGTTTCTAAATGAAGGTGTTTATTATAAAGGGGGAAAAAAATCCAAACCCTCATGGCCATGTGTGAAAAAAAGTGATTCTCCCCCCCTCCCATTATAATTAATGGTGGTGTATCACATCTTTGGAAAGCCAAGTTCAATTTCTCTAGCCACCCTGATTACTGCCACCCGTTCTCAATCAAGACATTACTTTAATACGACCTGCCTGACAAAGTGGAGTAGCCAAAAAGGTCCTCAAAAGCCAGACATCATCCCCATGATCCAAGGAAATTCAGGAACAGATGAGAAACAAAGTAACTGAGATCTCTCAGTCTGGAAAATGTTATAAAGCCACTTCTAGAGCTGTGGGACTCCACAATCTCCACAGTGAGATCCATTATCCACAAATGGCAAAATCATTGAATGGTAAACCTTAACAATGGTGAACCTTAATATAAGTGGCTGGCCAACCAGAATTACCCCAAGAGCATAGCAACAACTCATCCAAGAGGTCACAAAAGACCCCAGAACAATATCCCAAGACCTGCAGGCCTCACTTGGCTCAGTTAAGGACAGTGTTCATGACTCCACCATAAGAGAGTCAGCCCAGCCGACATGGCTAAGTTCCAAAACAAAAACCAGTACTGATCCCAAAGACCTCTGGTGCAAAAAGTAACACTGAAGTGTTCATGACCTCAAGCTGAAGCACACTTGGGTTCTGCAGCAGGACAATGATGCAAAACACACGAGCAAGTCCATCTCTGAATGGCTTAAGACAAACAAAAATGAAGAGATTGGAGTGGCTTGGTCAAACTCCTGATATGAATCTGATTGAGATGCTGTGGCATGACCTTAAAAGGTGGTTCATGCTCAAAAACCCTCCGGTGTGGCTGAATTACAACAATTCTGCGACAACTGGGGGAGAGTCTTTTACAGCTCTGCAAAGATGAGTGGGTCAGAATTCCTTCAAACAACTGATTCCAGTTGTTGCTGCTAAGCGTGGCCCAACCAGTTATTAGGTTTAGAAGGAAATCACTTTTTCACACAGAGCCATGTAAGTTTTATTTACACAAACACCTAGAAACTGCATTTTGTGTTTACTTGTGTCATCTTTGTCCAATATTTAAATTTGACGATCTCAAAAACTTAAGTATAACAAACATACGTAATGAACTGGTCCTGATGTTTCTAAACAAGAAAACAAAGAAATTGAGATTCTGGGTTCATCCAGTTCTCACAAGCAGGCAGCAGCAGGGAGAATGTCATGGTTTGATCCAGGAGTTGGAACTGTGTCACGACCACTTTTGTCCATATTTCAGGATGTCAGTGGGGCAGGTTAAACTCTTAATATATGTCAGACCACATCTGAGGAGGCAGAGGAGTCATTTCAGAGCCGATTGGCCTAAAGCATCAAGGACCTAAAGTATCAAGCTGTGTGTCTGAGGTAAAAAGTATTATTTTACCATTTGTATATACAGATTACCAGTTCACTTTGAGCTACAGAACAGTTGTTGTCCAATGCAGTTGGTTGGATCTGTGCAGTTGGATCTGAAAACTCAAGCTCGATACAAAATAAATAAATCTTAGCAATAAAGCAGGTTTTGAGGAAGTGTGAAGAAATTAGTTACAAGTTTAGAAAGTCTATAAAAATGTCATCACACTGATGATCTGGAACCCAAATTCAGAAAGACAGTTGGATTTTTGTTTGAAGCCTGAACCATGAAATAACTGCCAGGAAATTCGCTTTAAAAATTTGTTTTCAAAACTGTTTTTGGCAATTTATTCCTTAAAAATGTATTGTGAAATTTATGTTTTTCGAGGGAAGGGGGGAGAAAAAAAAACAACAAAAAACAAACAAACAAACAAAAAACAAAACAAAAACCACCCTTTGAAGGGATATCAATCCATTCATCTACACACACAAACTTACTATGATGTCCACATGAGAGCGTGGCCTCATCCTTTTGAGGGTGATGCCCGAGATGCAGTCTATGCTGGAGCGGGAGCCATAAATGATGGTGATGGGGATATCAGACTGCAGCTGGTCAATCCTCTGCAACATTGGCCTCTTGGCCCAGCCACATGGCGCAGTCATATTCTTAAAAGCAGTTTCCCCACTGTGACAAGACAAGGAAAAGATAATCAATGAGCACATGACAGAAAATGGATATGACAAAACATAATACTAGGTAGTAAAACGTGGATGAGAGCAGAAAAGGTGATGAAGAAATTGCTTCCATGGCCATTTTAGAGACAAGTGGCATTAATAAAAGAGAAAGACAGACCTGGGGCTTTGCACGTTCAGGTGGTAGATGTAATCTGGCACAGTGTTGTCAGTGAACACGAGGGAGAACTTTTTCTTGAAGTCGGGTCTTAGTGTTTGCACCAGAGTGGGACCTGCAGGGGACCAGGGAAGAGACAGAGGTGTCAAACACAAGCATGTAGCCATTAATAGATGAGGAGTACTCATTACATTTTACATGATTAGTCACACTGGGGAGAGCCCAGGTTTTGGCTTAAATTCCTTTCAAAGTCAAAGCAAAAACCACGAAAACTCTACTGAATGACATTGTGCTCGTCACATCACTTGCTTTAACAAGCAGTTCCTAGTTTTCTGGGTGTGCAAAGAGAACATTAGCTGTGATACTGCAATATTAAACTAATATAAAACCATCCCCCCAGTTTCATACTGCATACATTTTCACTTATTGTCTCCAGACAATAAGTGAAAATCTTCACCCATTATATTGCATCCTCTCATTTCCATTCTTCTCATTTAAGAAAAAGAAATTTCACGTGCTCATCATCTCCATTCCTGATACTTTTGTTGTAGCTTTGCTTTTCCCCAATATTTTGGTGTGCCACAGCATGGACACATTTCCCTGGGATTATTAAGCTAGTCCGGTTGTGGGTTTGCTTTTAGCACTGTGGTACTTTGTTGTCTTTTAGCACCTTACCCAGTGGTCCTACCAGTCGCAGGCCAGCCAGGGGGTTGAAAGGACTGAACATGGCACCAAGAGCTTTGATCCACACAGGGATGGGCCGGTCTGGTTCTGTTGTCTCCGGTTGATCAGGTAAACCCCAGGGCTCAACCAGGACAATGTGCTTTACTCTGTAAGCCAGACAACAAACAACAAAAATAAAAGTTAACCTGCTCTTTTAGTTATAAATTGTTTACAGACCTACAACTAAAGGACAAAAACGTTAAAAAGGCCAGAATGAAGAGTGCCAGAGCGAACATAGACAAAGACCACGACTTCTGGAATAATGTTCTTTGGACAGATCCAGAGTCTAAAATTGAATTCTTTGGACACCAGAACAGTAGACATGTTTGGCGTAAACCAAATACTGCCTTCCAAGAAAAGAACCTCATACCAACTCAAGCATGGAGGTGGCAGTATCCTAGTTTGGGGATGCTTTGCTGCAGCAGGACCTGGCCAGCTCACTATCATAAAATCCATCACGAATTCTACTGCGTATCAGAGGGTGCTTGAAGAACATGTGAAACCATCTGTTAATGAGGGAAATTCTTTTGTCATACACATGCTCAATGCAGCAAGAGAGACAGAGGAACAGAAGAATAAGATATACAACATATACAATAGAATACTAGTATACAGTAATGACCCAAAGCATACCAGCAAATCCACCAAGGACTGGCTAAAAACTAAGAAGTGGAGAGTCCTGGAATGGTCAAGTCAAAGCCCTAATCTCAACCCCATTGAGATGCTGTGGGGTGACTTGAAACAGGCTGTACATGCAAGAAACATCTCACAGCTGAAGGAATTCTGCATTGAGGAGTGGGGCAAACCTTCTGATCGATGTCAGAGACTGGTAAAAGGCTACAAAAGCCGTCTCGCTGGTTATATCAGCCAAAGGGGGCCACACTAGTTATTAGGGGGTAGGGTGTCCTTTTTTCTCCATTGAAATAAACATTTTTGTTCATATCTTTTTTGATGTTTCACAAAATGTTCATTTTTGTTGTTTAATTGCAATCACTTTCTTTTCCAGTAATACATAAAATCATGATTGGAAATTATTATGAACAGTTCACATATCAAAGGGCTGATTATTTAATGGGGTGTCCTAATTTTCCTCACATGACTGTAAGCATTCAGTATCCTGGTGCATGCATTATTTTTTTGTTTTAACAGAGATGTATGTCACATTCACATCTTTTCATCAAGAAAGTAAATACATCCCCCCAAATATAACTTTTCTGGCACAGCATTTTGTTTTGTTTTTGTATTTTTTTTTACAATTAAATAATGGTGATCCATTCTATTTTTGCTTATTTCTGCCATATATACACACACCGTTACATTGAATGTACATTTTAAACAATTCTCAGATAATGACAGAGTATGAACGGTGGACCAAAAACTTTCAGATGGCTCTAAATGCCCAGTTTCACAGTTTTATTTTTGACTTTTGAGGTCACCAAGATCAGATATTGCTAATATGAAAACTTACACAGCCCTTGTAAGGTGGAGTCTATCAGAAGAAAACTGGCTTTAAGGAAGCAGGAAGGGAGCTAAAATGCATTTCAGACATGATGATGGCCGTTTTTAGTGCTGCAGAAATATGAACAAAACCAGCTATGGCTGACAGTATAACAGGTCGCAATCAAGCTAGGCCAAGGGTCAGCAACCTTTAACACCCAAAGAGCCATTTGGACCCGGTTTCCATGCAAAAGAAAATACTGGGAGCCGCAAATACTTTTTGACATCTAAAATGAAGATAACACTGTTTATATTGTTTCTTACTTTTATGCTATGTGTGAACAACTAAGGTGTGTTGCTTATGAAATTCATGAAGTGCTACAGAGAAAATTACATTTTATTTCTGTAATTAACACATTTTTAACTCTTAAATATAACAAAAGGAAAGACACCCAGCTGAACGAAAATGATCCATGTAGCAAACAAAAACTGTTGTGAGCCGCCCCTTATATCACCTTTGGGCTTTTGGAGCCTTGACCTGACTTAAAAAAAAAAAAAAAAAAAAAAAAAAAAAAAAAGGAAAAAAAAAAAAAAGCTCTATGCTGCTAAAAAATGAAAAATGGATATTTGCAAAATTCTGCCTAAATATGCATTTTACCTGGTTAATGTGTGTGGCGGGGCGTGGTCTGCAGCGCTGCTGCAGGGGAGGCGGACGCACCTGAGCGGCACCCGCAGTCACGCCTCGCCGCCTTAACGTCTGTGCTATCCATGTTGTTGTGTTGGTGTGTCAGCTGCAAAGCTCTCTCTCTCTCTCTCTCTCTCTCTCTCTCTCCTGCTGCTACTTCAATCGTGAAACTGATCAATGATCAGCTGATCGGCTTTTGTGTCGCGAGTCTGTCTCTCTTCTTTGTTTTTGGCCCACTTCGCGCCAGAAAGAGGAAACCAGCGGCAGAACAACAGCAGCACGTTTAACCTTGATAAGCTGTTGTTAGAATTTGTTTAATATTACTTTCTACACCAGGATCCTTTTCTACGTAGCTGACGGCTGGTAACTGTGCAGGGGCGGATCTAGCAAAGTTTAGCCAGGGGGGCCGATAGGGCATTAATAGGGAAAAGGGGGCACAAAGACATCATTTTCTTTCTTATTCTCATTTAAAATGTCTAGCTTTTAATAAATAATTATCCGAATTTTACACCCAAAGTTTTAATCTGCTGTAAAATGTATAGAAGTCCATTACTGTATATAATAACTATTAAGTCTAATATACCCTAGTAAGCTATAGTACTTTTTCCTTTGGGAAGATACCATCTGTGCAGTCTGCAATTCTGTTGAAGAAAGATGTTGAATCTATTTAATTATTCTTGAAAAATAATTTATTTCTGTGCATTTCTTTCACACTGCAGCAAATTGAAGTAGTTTACGTCAATTAAGCATCATGAGGTGGAGGGTGGTTCCCCTTTTTTTTTTGCTGGGAGTTTGCAACCTTATTAGTTAGGTTGCTTACTCTTTAAAATACCAGAATAGGGAGGATGGAGTAGGTTTAAGTTCATTAGATTAATCATTATTGCTGAACTATGAAATATTTTGGGTGCAGTGTATTTTTTTTATTTTTTAACATACAGGTCTAACAGAATAGCTTTAGTGTTTTGTTTTGTTTTTTTTTTTTGTTTTTTTTTTTAACTTGAGTATGAACTTATACAAAACCAGCAAGATATTAAAAAAAAAAAAAAAAAAAAAAAAACACTATCATATCGGTATCGGCAGATATCCAAATTTATGATATTGGTATCGGACATAAAGTGGTATCGTGCCATCTCTAATAAGGACTAAAGAGCTGCAGGTTGCCGACCCCTGAGCTAGGCTGATATTTACATGACACCATGAAGCAGTTTACTTTCATTTTCATAATCAACTGGAAGCTAAACTGACAGGTGATTATAAGCCATTTAAATCTGACATGTCATGGTCTTAATGGACTCTGTACTGGTACAGAGAGCACATTGTTGTGGTTCCCAATACGAATGAAGTTCAAGGAGGAGGGGTGGGTGGGGGGGGCAGTGAGCACAGATCGGGGACGCATGTGCCTGATCACGAGCATCTGAAGTTATAACTTAAAACCATTTGGAACGCTAAGATAACAATAAGAAGACAGGAAGCGGGAATTTTCAGTGTTACTGATGAAGAGGGGTGATAAGGGATTGAGGACATTTTATCAGGCGCCGCTTAGGGAGAGCCGGGTGAATGCTGGAAGCTCCGAGCTGGAGCTGCGGCAGGAGGAGATGGTTCAGGAGAGATAGAGTCTAGTGGGAGGAGAGAGCGTTTTGGAGGACACTGCTGTTATCACAGGCTGCCAGCACCTAAAGGCACACCGCTACAACTGTATCCTCTACTCATGCTGGCATGTTTTGCTACAATCATGTTAACAGCAAAAGGGCAGAATCATTATTCATAACAGTGTTCACTGCAGACTCTGCTTTTTTCTCCTCCTAGGCAAGTTCCACTTCATTTGTTCCATTTACAGCAGTGATGAAAGGATTATTCAAAGGTATATTATTCTGGTTTTATAGAGCAATCAACACTCTGCCGACTTGCTCACTGGAGCTCTCAGCTGTAACACATGGCTTTCTTTAGCTGATCTGACCAACAAGCTGCTCTTGGGGACAGAAAATGAGACATTATGACACAAACTTGTTTGATGTGTTGATAAATCAGTTTTCTTGTGTCCACTGACACACTCCACTGTATTTTCCATAACAGTCCCTGACAGTATCTGCCTGCTGTTTGCTGTGAGGCAGCAGGTGTAAAGAGGCCCAAACACTTCTGCAGACCAACATTCACACACCACCCTCAAAAGGCAGGATAGAAATAATAGTTAGAGATGATATGCAAAGATTATCACAATATTAACTCTGTCCGTTTCAGCCACTCTTGCAGATGACAGGAGCTGCTAGCCAACAGTGGACATTAGAAAAGATGAGCTCCTATATGGAGTGCCTAAAACACTCGCATCATTATAATAATAAGAGACTAAAACCTGACTTTAGCTTATGCTACAGTTCTGATCCTGACATTTTACACAAACCTGCCACCTTTCTGTATCAGACAGTGTGGGTCATGATACAGTAAGATATGAGAAATCCCATTGTCTGCACCCACCTGCCTGGGTATTTAATTGAGTATGACACAGCGAGGTATCCTCCCAGATTGTGACCAAGAAGTATCATAGACTCCAGACCCACGCTGGCCCGCCACTGTTCTATGGACTCGACAAACTGATCCTCTGCTTCTGCTGCATCTGTTGAGAACACAGGCCTGCTGCTCTGGCCAAAACCCAGTAAGTCCAGTGCAAAGACAGGCCGATGCTGGGAGAGATCATCCAGATTCTGAGCCCACAGGCCCACCCCGCCGCCAAAGCCATGCAGCAGAACTAAGGGAGTTTTATCTTTAACATGGTCATTGCAAAACATCAGGGTCCACAGAAGATTGTCGTTGGAGATGGGAACAAACACTTTAGTAAATTCAGTGCTGACATCTGAAAAGAAAAGCACAAGATTACTTTTAAGTACAAGAACATTACGATGGGTCAAATATTCCATTTCACATTAATCTAAATAACATCTCTTTTTTGATACTACTGAATCAATCAGGTGTCGTCACCAAAAGTGAGATTCTCTACAAAAGGGTTTAAAAAAACCAAAACAAAAAACAAACAAACTAAAAAACACAACAACACCACACACAAACACGGCAACAAGCTCAAACAAGAGCAATGCGATTTCTCACACTTACTGGTTCATTAATAACATCCTGCAGGCACAGTTGGGTTAAAGTCATTCATAGAAAACAGCCCCTGAACTTCTTGATTTTTCAAAGCTGTAATCATCAATCACTTTATTTATAAGTTCCTAGTCTACTGTGGTTAATGTTCTCTACTTGTTGTCACGACATTTTCTGGAAGACCGACATCTAATATTCCTTTAAATTTTGAGCAACGAAAGTCATGAGTTACTTTTTCCCTGAGCTGTTTGTAGTCTTCGATAAGACACATACTTTACAAGTGATCTCAGACACATTTTGTAATTAGCATGAAACACGCTAAGGCCCAACGCATCTGCTCAGTTTATTATTATTTTATGTCAACGATTGCATTTTTGAGGACTTAAAGATGCTAAAAAAAAAAACCTCATGTACATTTTCACCAGATCTAACACGTGCAAAATTTCTTATTTTATTGGTTTGTAAATGGCCTGTATTTGTATAGCGCTTTACACGTCCCTAAGGACCCCAAAGCGCGTTACACATTCAGTCATCCACACACAGTCACACACTGGTGATGGCAGCTACATTGTAGCCACAGCCACCCTGGGGGGCACTGACAGAGGCGAGGCTGCTGGACACTGGCGCCACCGGGCCCTCTGACCACCACCAGTAGGCAACGGGTGAAGTTTCTCATGTACAGAGTAGGAAATGGTTCAATAATGCCACCTATGGTAGTACTACCAGCATGCAGTTTGAGTTACATGAATGAAATTTGGTACACACATACGTAAAGTCTGGAAGCCCACTGACCCAAACCCAACAGGAAGTCCGCCATTTTGAATTGAAGGTGACATTTTGGCGACTTCCTGGCATTATACTGTTGCAAACTCCTCCAAGGATCAACTTCATATTTGGTCAGTCTAAACTACAGACCTGGGCCATATTAAATTGCAACACTTTTGAGCTTTCTTCAAAGGGCGTGGCCGTGGTACCACGGCAAATTTCAACCAGTCGCCATGAAAATATAGTTTCCTCTTATTTACACATACATCGTCCAATCTGGACCAAACTTCCCACGTTTCATAAGGCTCCGCCCCTGAAAACATTTCTCCTGTCATATTTGATGGTGGTCACTGCACCACCTAGTGGGAACAAGAAATGTCATGTTATGCACTTTGGGCTACAGTTTTAAGGTGACTGACCGCAGCAACCTCAAATTTGCCAAAGAAAGTCTTAAGGTGTTGGTCATCGCTGCTTGCAGATTTAATTCATATTTACAAAAAGTTATTTGATTTCTAGCCAATACAGGTTTTGTTTAGCAAAACAGGTTGTGTTTGAGTGAGTGACCACAGGTGGGTGAGTTTTTACTTTTGCACACTGTACAAAAAGTGTATGTTTTAAATTAAAAAAAAAATTACACTGGGTTTATCCTTACACTGCAGCATCTTCTCCTCTGAAGCTTGCAGATGGCTCTTTGAAGTTGGACACCACGATGGCAGCCAGTTGGGAATCCAGCACCACCTACGTACACAAAAGCACAACAGTATGAATATGAATGGTTTGCCTTATATTAATATTTCAAACGTTCATCATTATAATAATGATTCATCATCATGCTGCTTTGGGGTACTCACAGTCGTAGGGCTAAGATTCATAACACAAACCTGCACCACAGAACATTGACTCCTAGCTAACCAGACTCTTACTGTATGGTCCTCACATAACTCATTTCTCATCTTTCTACCGCTTGGACTGCGTTTTGCAACACGCTAAACAATCAGGGTTACTAACAGGTTAAGCAAGCAAAAAAAAACAGGCTTGATACACAAAATTACCATCAGAATTTATCACAGATGCTTTGAAAAATGTAGTGGTTTAAAGGTGTGAACATACACCATAAGACTGTAGCCTTATGGTGTATGTTTTTGTTGGAGTTTCCAGAGTGCAAAATCTGGGTAAAAAATAAATGATCCAAATATGATTTGATAACAAATTGCAAAATTGTGCAAACAATTTCATGCAGAAAAATAAATATACACCATATTTTTCAACTGATAAGGCTTCTACATTTGCTGTTAGGAGTGTTAATTTAGTTTTGCATTGCCAGGGAGAGATCGCTTTGTCATTTAGTTCTTCATGGAGTCCTCACACTGAATGTTTAGATTGTTCCGTGTTGGTATTTTAATGTAACAGAGCAGTCCTTAATATGAAGCATCCATGAAGCTTTATGCTTTAGGAACCAATACGTTGTATTAATGCTTCTCTGTATGACTTTATCAGTCTCCCATACTGTTGAGAGAAAATTCTGACCCAATGCCGTTTGTGAGGTATTTATTTAAGCACAGATCTCTTAAGATACCCAAAGGGATTTGTTTCTTTTTTCAGATGAATGGAATAACATTGATGGAGAGGTAAAAGCCTACATCTTTCCACTTTGGGGTTTTTGTGTGATTTTTTTTAAATTGTAATTCTGAGCATTTTGTGGTTTTTGGTACTCTGGAAAACTGTAAATAATGAGCAGAAGCAATGTTAAATTGATGTTGATAAATCTGAGATATTTCTGTAAACATTCACATGCATGACTTCTGCACAGATTCATGTGGACACACTGTTAGTTAACAAGTCCCATTGTTCCTGAAGTCATGTGGTTTGTTCAGATACAACGTTGCAAACCCAACACACGCTGCAATATTCTTTTTTAATGAAAAGGTTTTTTCATTCCTAATTCATGGCAACGTGTTATGGCAGGCCTTCTACTAGAAGGCATAACTAAACTACAGAAGGGTGTGACTTAAGAGTAAGGAGACACTTAAAGGTTTTTGGCTGAATGTCTAAACAGCTGTGTTTATTGTAAAAGTGTCATATCTCATGACCTCTCCATTAGCTGCTCTGTGTGGGAAAGCAACTTCTTACTTCACAACTGGCTCTGAAATAAGCTCTTCTGCTTTCCTCCACTGGCCCAGTGTGGTCTTGAGGGAAAAGCATAACAGAGCAAAAAGCTGTGACACAAAAATTTAGTTTCTTTGCTTTCTTTTGTCTTTAGGCAAGTCAACCCCCCCCCCCAAAAAAAAACAAAACCCCAAAACAAAAAACCAACCATAACAACAAAATGTTCTTCTGTGACATGCAAACCTCATGTAGCAACACGCAGAGACATCAAAAGAGGAAACAAACGGCTGTCGTCACACTACACTTGACTCAATGTTCTCCTTCCCTGACATTGGTCACATTAGTTTCTTTAACAAGGCCTTCTTTACAGAGTCTAACCATAGACATCTTGTTCACTTAGTAATTATCAAAACATTCATATCGAATTTCCCAGAGGAACCCACCCGAGGGATTAATAAAGTTCTATCTTATCTTATCTCCAACTGTTTTGATAAAGGACTATTTGTGCTTTTCACTAGCTACAGCTGTTTTGATAAAGGGCAACTTAAATTGTTTGTCTGTAAGGTTTTCGGCTGCTAAGTGGATAGAACACCTGAATATGTCACCTTGAATTCTGAGACATCGATACAGGACGTGATTGATGCGATTTTAATCAGTCCCTTTCACATGTTTCAACATTTACCTAAGCCTACTTCTAATAATTCTTACAATTAAACAAATGTGACACACACACACACACACACACACACACACACACACGCGCAAAGACGCACACACGCGCGCAAAGACACACACACGCGCGCAAAGACACACACACGCGCGCAAAGACACACACACACGCGCAAAGACACACACACACACACACACACACACACACACACGCGCAAAGACGCACACACACACAAAAAGACAACAAGGATTTTTCTGTCTATTTTCTAAGTGAGCAGCAGCAGCGCAGCCTCAAAACAAAGCAGCCTCAAAATTAGCTTTAAATTGATCAAGTATGGCATTGGCCTTGGTGTGAATCTGTGCTGCCTGAGTGGTCCTCTGTTTTAAAAATAAGTCAGTACTGCAAGAGAACTCACATAAAGTCCTTTCCAACATGTGGCAGACATAATGAAGCAGCCTCATTACTGTGTTGTTTAGGCACAACTAGAGTCACAGACTTAAAAATCAGCCTAATTTAACTGCTCTGATCATCTCCCCCCCCATGAAGGTTTTACTGTTTGGGGAGCTCATTGGTCATTTTGCTCATTTTAAGACTGTCCTCCACCCCCCATGGCTGTCGTTTTCTTTTTCAAATCATTACACATGATGCTTGGGCAGCAAGGAAGGTCCTGAAGGTTCAATCCAAAACTAGTTGTACTTAATTATTTTTTTAACATAAAAGCACATTTACGCTATATGCACATGTGTTTCTCATCTGGGCTGCTGTTGGGGTTTTCTCTGCATTATTGTAGGGTCTTCACCTTATAATGCAGAACACCTCAAGGAGATGGCTGTGATTTGTGAACTGCACTTTCACTTTTAACCCACTCTAAATGCCTTTTACAAGTCTGGAAACGTCAATTTCAATGCCTTTTGAACAGGTTTTTGTTAATCGGGGTGGTGCTACTCATTTATATTGCTTTGCACTGATAAGCAACCATTTAGTCTCAGCCTGTTAACATACATGTGTTGGACTCAATTGTTGGAGACGCAATTACTTGATAAACCCGTGAGTTTGCCAGGGTTATCAAAACGCAGGAGACACCCTGTGTGTTATTGTGAAAGGTAAGTTAAAGAGTCACAAAACTTTACGTTTAGTTCTCCCTTTGCTTACGTTCTATTACTCTACTAAGTCTCATGAAAATCACCCAGCTGAAAGGAAACTGGACCTGCACAGTGACACATACAAACTAACAAAGTGAGGCTACAATAATGAAAGCTAATGTCTGAGTGGAGGTGGATATTTGTGTAAAAGAGTGTCACACCTGTGTCTGTGTGTGGATGCTCATAACATTACCTTATTGTTTTATCCACATAGCCCCACACACTCCTGGCCAGACTGGGAACACCAACAGTAGACAGCATTCTATGAATGACCCTGGAGATATAATAAAAGAGTAAGCGCGTGAGGGCAAAGGACAGGGACTGGCTGATGACAACGCGTGACAGCAAAACTATCATCTCCATTATTTAAATTATCAAGCATTTACTATAACACTTAAAAAAAAGTTTATGGTTTTATCAAGGTTTTTTGTGCATTTCCAGAGGGCTTTTTATGCACATGAATATAAAAATATTCGCGCCACTGCAAAACTCTTGTTTAAAACCGGTGTTCTGACAAACCATCCTAGTTTGGCAAAACGTTCTACCGTAACTCTGCTGTCACAGAGTAATTCCAACACCAACTTAACTTTGCCCATCAGAGTATGCTTATAGGTCATATTCATACAGCCAGGATGGTTTGCCACTTCATTTTACCCATTAAAGTATCTTGTAGGTAACATTCACTCTGACGGGTAAAATTAAGTGCCAAACATGCATGGTTTGGCACTTAATTTTACCCGTCAGTATGTTTGTAGCTGTTATTAACAAAGGTAGGATGGTTCGCCACTGAATTTTAACTGTTTAAGTATGCTTGCAGGTGAAATTCACAAAGGTAGGATGGTTTGGCAGTTAATTTTACCCGTCAGAGTATTTTTGTAGCTAATATTTACAAAGGTAGGACGGTTCGCTACTTAATTTCGTGTTGTGCGCATGCACAGAAACAACGGGTAGGATGGTTTGCGAGGTAGGATGGATTCTAAGAACACCTGTTTTCCAATTTGCTCTACCATCTCTGAGGTAAAACAAACATGGCAGTCCAGCGGCTTTGCAATAAGAGCGTTATTTTACTTCTGTGGACCACACCGACAATACCTTCAAAGCACCGGTGAGTTTTTCAACGACCTTCTGCAGTCTTCGAGCACTCTCATTTAGTACGGGCCACTTTACAAGAAGGCAGCAATTAACTAATGAGGTGGGGGGGGCAGGTTTACCTTGACCCAAGTGGTGCCTCTCTCTGACAGCCTGTCTAACTTTCGACAACAACACTCGGGCATTTTTCAGGAAAAGGTGCACAGTGTCGCTGTTCCAATAACACTTAGTGTCTGTTAAATAATAAAGGAACATTACCGTGGATAGACATACTCTGACAGGCCGGGGAATGTGATAGGTTAATAGAAATACTCACCCTCTGTTCTCGATCACCGCTTGCTCAGCCATAGCGCGACAGTCCCCGAGACGCTTCTCACAGTCACGTGGCTCTGACGTAGCTGCCGAGCTTGTGTGCATTTCATTTATAGCGTCAGTTGACTGAGACAAGGGGGGGGGGAGTGTTATTCCTACTGTGGATCCACCTATCTCCGCTTCGTTTCTTCCTAGTAGAGTAAAACAAACGCACCCAGGAAGAGTTTGCGGAACTGGCGTGTCTGTCATGTCTAAACATTGCTGCTGATCGGGGAAGTGGGTCTTGGTAAGTATTTAAACTCCGTTTTGTGTTCCTTGTTTTACATTACTCGGGTATTTAAAAGTAACACAAGAGTGTTGAGCTTGCGCGGGCAGCTGCTGCTGTTCAGCTCTTCGGTTCAGTTCTTACGGTGAATCATCCTGCAAGTCATTAGAAATGTTCTCAACGGTCTTTAAACTCATTTATCTTGCTTATCTGATATTTCAGGTCTTACATTTAATGGGGACAGGTACTCATGCACATGTAACCTGCAGCGTGAAAGATACATGTAGAAAAAAGTTTTATTTACAGTGTTGTGCAAAAGTCTTGAGCCACACATCGTTTAGATTGTGCTAGGCGAATGGGATGTGATTTATGTGCAAACATAATTAAAAGCACAGTGTACAGACTTAAAAGTCAATATTTGGTATGACAACATCTATTTTTCCACACAGCTGAACTCTCTGAGCCCACTTGCTTTGTTATTTATTTAAGTGGTCTTCAAAAACAGGCTTCTTGAAGGGTGTTTGCCTTTCATTCCGTTTGTGAAGATGATCACACACTGCTTCAATAACGCTGAGATTTGGGCTCCAGCGAGGCCAATCCATGATGGATGGATGTGTACCATTATATTTGTTTCCATCAAGGTATGCCTTTACTGCATTCACAGTGTTTTTGGGATCATTGCCGCAATTAAATATTTAGCTGTTATCAATCAGAAGCTCTCCAGATGGACAAATCTTTTCTGCATTCATAATTCTACCAGTTTTGACAAGATCTTCAACACCACCATGCCTCCACTGTGTTTTCCACATGGCTGTAGTTAGTCACTGTTGTACTTTGATTCTGACCTTTTCTTTACGTATTGAAAAAAATCGAACCAAAAAAATTCAAATGTGGATTTTTCACTCCACTGGTTTTCAGTCCAGTTATTGTGTATGTTGGCATACCTCAGCCTTTGCTCTCTGTTTCATTTACTAAACAACAGCTTCTTCCATGTTTCCACTGAGGCTGTTTGATGGCTTCAGTGAACCATAGCTGGATCAGACTGAAAGTCTGGGGGGGGGGGGGGGGGTTCTGTCACTGCTACTTTTGCTCTCATCTGTCCAGTTTCCTTAATTTTTTTTTAATGACACACATACATGGACTGTAAGTATTAGTCCAAAGAAAAACTTTTAAAGTACCATGTTTATTTTGTTTTTTTCCTGTTTTGTTGTTGTTGTTGTTTGTTTGTTTGTTTTGGGTTTTTTCCCTTCTCTTTTCTTTAAAAATTATTTCTTTTTGTTTTTTTGGGTATCTTGTGGTTTTATTGCTTTCTTACTGCCATATGTTCAAGATGTTTAAAGTGTTGGATATTTATGAATATAAAATCCAATAAATATATTGGTAAACATATATTTACAAAGTTTTTCTTTGTACCTTTAGAAGGCTGGAGAACTATTGCTCAAGACCACTGTAAAGTAACAACAAACTCTGGGCATTTGTAACCAAAATACAAAGAAATCAGGGGTGAATCAAGACTTTTGCACAGTACTAGAGTTGTAAATTTTCCCGTAATTTCTCTAAACGTATATATTTAGGTCCGGGGTAAACCTGCATTTTTTTTCTAATGGCCATCAGGGGTGATCCCTGTTATCCCTGAATCCTCCTCCTCCTATATGTTATAACTTTGTTTAATCTCTTCAACATGTTGACCAATTTCTTTTCTTTTCTTTTTTTTTTTTGATTTTTGTGTAATCTTCCTGACAGACACCAGTATTCAAATAAAAGTGGGAGCAAGACTACAGAACTATAACAGATTCTTGCAGTCATAGCATAGCGATTGCTGTTTATGAACTCCTAATTAAAACACATGAGAACAAAGAAGCTACATAATGTGAAATGTAAAGCTGTATGTTACATTCACACATACATATATATTTACTCACCCTAAGGAAAGTTGTTTAAAATACTAAGATAGTTGCCATTTTTTTTCCCCAAAATCTGACACCGTCAGGATGAAGCATGAAGATTTGTTGTGTAACTGCAGAAAATGTTTCAGTGTTCGGTGTAAAATAAATAATAACAGAAATAATCCTGTTACCTTCATTACAAGTTAACTGGATTATAAAGTGAAAACAGTTACTGATTATAATCCCTAACAGAAAGATATCCAAAGTCAACTCAACAAGCTATGGGATTTGAGTTTTAAACCACACTCATTAAAGACTCCGCACACCCACACAGGTGTTGTCACTTAAAGCTGCACAGGCGTGGGCCAGGTTAGTGGAATTTATGTGATCGATCACACACACACACACACACACACACACACACACACACAGAGCTATATTAATGAAATATACAAAGGCTGTTTTTCTTTTTAACAAAACTGGAAGCGTGAGAGATCAGTGGAAAGTTCAACTGTTACCTGTAAAACTGGTAATACTTGAACCTCTGGAGACAATACATAGGCTAAAAATAACATAGCATGTGGTTAGGGTACCTGTTCTGATCACTGTAAATTTGGTTATATTTAACATTGTTAGTATGTATATGTGCTTCGTTCTAGGGGTGGGCGATATAAACGATATACGATAGAAACGATATAAATTTGGCCAACGATAGAGATCGCTCTATCGTGATAGTGCCTGTTTTGGTCGAAAGCATCGCAGCGGCTACAACCATTATCATCTGCAAATTATGCCGGGGGACAGTAATAGCAAAGAGATGAAGCACGTTTGAAATATGGGGAAAGCCAAAAACTGCGCTTCCTCCACTTCCGTAACATTGATTGATTAATGTTGAATTCGCTCCAGCTGCTCTATTCCCATGTTGTTGCAGTATATTAATAACTAACCTTGTATGGTGGATGAATAATCTTAGTTGTTCTCCTGACTGAAGTCTGGCCCGTGTATAGCATCCTGCTATGCGATTGCATTTGTTCATACAGAATCCCTCACGTTAACTTTTATCGAGTGGGGAAAAAAGTTGGCGTTCAGCCTCCAGCTTCACTGTGCTAATGTTATGCTAACATAGCTGTGTCGCTAGCAATCACGTAGCACAACATTATATACCAGGTAGTCCAATTTCAGTAACCCTGCAAACACCACTGCTGTTTAGTTTTCTGTCTTCATTTATGTTGGAAGTGGCAGCAGAGCTGTACGTTTTAATTAGTTTCAGAAATCTCAGTCAGAACATGGTGTGTCATGTTTAGGTGGAAACTAGCGACCTAACTTCCTGTTAACTTCTAACTCCGTTATATTTAATAAATTCTGTTTTCATGGAAGCTCCTCACTACGGCAGCCGTAATGCTCTTGACAATCCATCAAGCAGTGCGGCTTACCAAAGTTGTACTAAAACATTTTTAACAGATTTCTGCACGCCCAAATCGGTTCGTGGTCAGTAAGCACAACCAGAATTCATACATAAGGCACACTCGCGATTTTTGAGAAAATTAAAGGATTTTAAGTGTGCCTTATAGTGTGTAAAATACATTATACAGAAGAAAAGAATATATCGCGGTATATATCGTTACCGCACGTGCTTCAAATTATATCGCGATATGGATTTTAGGCTATATTGCCCAGCCCTACTTCATTCTTACATCCCTTTGTTCTATCAAATCATTCAAATAGTGTGACAGCATTGGTAGGACTGCGTGTGTGTGTGCACACAGTACATACAGCAGTAGAGTAGACAGTAAAAAATATCTTAATAAGGTAAAAACCCATCTGAAATCATAGTGAAGTTTAACCTTCAGCTGGGACTTCCAAGAGCAAACTGATATGGCTGATATCACAGTCACCACATCCAACTTCCACAATCCAACTTATTATTTTTTACGACATATGGTTCAGATACCCATAAACTGTATAAAAGGTGGACATAGCTTCTGGGTCTGTGGAAATATCCTATACTGTAATTCTTTTTAATGGGCACTAGAGGTCGATACCTGTGTGCCTCTCATTGCTGTAGAAATGCGGTTGTTAAGTCTGACGTCACTAGCCGTGTCTGGGCCTAAACTCCGCTGCAGGTCCATATATCAAACGATCACTATGGCATTACTGGGAGTTGAAAAGCTGTCTAAAGTCTTCCATCTTTAATAAAATGATCAGCGTTCTGCTCTACCAGGTGTAACAATTGAGTTTAACATCCAGGCATCCATGAAAACGGAATTTATGACATTTAACATTAGAAGTTAGCAGGAAGTTAGCTCGCTAGCTTCTATCTAAATACAACATAGCATGTCCTGACTGCGGGGTTTTGGAAACAAATTAAAACGTACAGCTCTGTTATCACTTCCAACATAAATGAAGACAGAAAACTAAACAGCAGTGACGTTTGTAGGGTTACTGAAGTTTGGCTAGCTGGTATATAATGATGTGCTACGTGATCGCTAGCGACACAGCTATGTTAGCATAACATAAACAAGCGAACCTTTTTCCACTTGATAAAAGTTAGTGTTCTCGGTGGTCAGGAACAAATGTAATCGCATGGCAGGATGCTGTAAAAGGACCAAACTTCAGCCAGGAGAACAACTGAGATAATCCATCCACAATACGAGGTTAGTCATTCATATACTGCTGCATGGGCTGGGCTGTAGTTACATCCTAAGGTTTTAAAAACTGAGCTTAAATAAATGATTAGCGGTAATAAAAGCTGAGGGAGGTCAACAGTGATCACTGACTGTTTTAGGAGCTTTTTGAGATTAAATAGAAGAAAATACAAGACATTAAATATGTTAACAACACAAAAGCCATATTAAACGCAGACTACTTTAGGCCCAGAAGTAGGATTGGTCACGTCATCGCTTAACAACGGATAGGAACGCAGCGCTCACCCCTAG